ATATAATTGGAAAAATTAAACTATTTAGTATTTATCATTTATCGATGGACCTGTACATATGAATGTGACAATATTCTAGGTTTTCTTTCAATTATTTTTAATCGTAAAATATGACTATGGATAACAATAAAAATATAATCATGTTGATATATATCTTAACTTAAGATAATTTCCAAGATTATACAGTCTGATACAGATAAGTCAAATATTTCATTTGTAAATCGATAATGCACGGTTGTTGCTCATAAGTCATAATGCTCATATGCAACAGTATGTATTTAGCACTACACTGGACGTTTATATTTTTCGACGTATTTCAGTGCCGTATGTTTGTTTTGATTGGCGTGTTTGATTATTTTACTTTTTACATTAAAAATTATTATTTTTTTTTTCACTCACCATGACGTGTAGAAGACATTTGTTTGAAAGAGAAATTGTACAATTGCTGAAAAATAAACTTCCATCTGATTCCGAAGAGGATTTGAAATCTGGCGACGAACAAGGTATATATTAAATAGATGATAATATAGTTGGTTCAGAAGCACTTGATTAATGTTTAGAAAATATTGATGACGATGAATTAGACCCGTTTCTTAATTCTATAAATTTATTTAAAAGTAATTGAGAAATGAATGTTGACATAGAATGTATTGAATGTGAACCTGACGGTCCATCGATACCTCTTCCAAACTCCACTTCTGTACAGCCATATACAAAAAATGAAATATATAAAACTCCAGACCATAAAATTAAAAATTTAAGAAAAAAAACCAAATTTGATGTAACCATACCCCTTTTTGTTGTTAAGCCTCAGCCTAAAACAAAAAAGCAAAAATTAGATATTTCTTGGAAACGTGAAAAATTGTCTACTCAAAATGTTAATACTTTACTGGTAACTCTGAATTTTCAGACGAAATTTTAAATTTAAGTATTCCTTATCAAATATTTGGCTACTTTTTCCCAGATGATTTAATTGAACATATAGTTAGGCCTTTACACACACATTTTAGTTTCATATTATACACACTTAACATTTTGTATAAGATAAATTCAATTTTAGTACCTACCTGCTCCAGCCACTTATGTAGTTATACACACAAATTTTTTTTTGATAGATTTATTATACACAATATGTAGGTTCATTCATATTATATTATGCTATACTATAAGTATCTATCAAGGTATCTATTTACGGCAATATAATATGTTAGTATATACCTAAATAGTAAATATCATAATATGGTACTAAGAAATTCAAATAATAATTTTGTACCCAGGCCTAACAATTTTAGAAGCCCAATATATTCCATTGGAAAAATATATATCTTAACATTAATAGAAGTTTTTTTCTCCAGCACTGGACCATTTGTAGGTATATAAATGTTAAACTTAATAAAAAAAAAATAAAGCATATTTAGATATTTTTAAAATATAGATAAGTACCTAATACCTACTAATACAGTGTCACAGTTTGATATTCGCAAGAGGATTCACGGAAAATATCCACTCCCAAAATGTTAGGAACATTTTGTATGTAAAATGTAGAGGTATTTATGTGATGATTGTATGATGTTACAATTTTTTTTTTGTGCGTATACCTATGACGTGTATTTTATAGCATAAAAAATGTTTCAATTTTCAACATTGAGGGTAGTTTCTGCAGAAACATGATAGTATGACCATCATGATAGTAAATTGGATCTAATTCGTACTTTTAGGAGGTCGAAATTGACGGTTTCCAGTATCTATATTTCAAAATAATAGGGGTAAAAATATAAAGGAAAAATAAGAATTTATAAGCAACTATGGTTTTTAACAAAATCGATTTTCCTTTTTATGTTTTGATTCAAAAACGTAAAGAAATAACCTTAGATATTTGAAAAAAAATTTTAATATTAGCATTTTCTATACGTGATAAAATTTTAAGATATTTTAACTCTTTTTAAGCTATTTATAGACATTAAACATTTTTAGATTTTTTATTAAATATCGATAAAATATTTTTTCGTTATTATAATATCATATAATTAATGTCAGTATAAATCGGTGGTTTTAAAGAACTGAGTTTTACGAGCATTGTCTAAGTGTGCCGTGAGTATTAAATATTGTTATAATAAACGTAAATAATTAATAAAAATAAAAATATAAATTTTATTAATTTAATTTAGTGTTTTAAAATCTACTTTATTTTAGCGATTGTTCCATCTGTAGTATCTGCCATGAGTGTCATGACTCATGACCCTACAACAGTTGTCAACGACGTTTTAAAACTCTGGAGCCGCATTCAACAATTTTAAAAAATTCGTGTCAGAAAAAAATTAAAAATATCTCGCCTTATTTTAAAAATGTTATAAATCAGAAAATAATGAAATTACAACTGTTAATACTTAATGAAACACTAAATGTGATTTTTACTGTTGGATATTGGTCATTATTTTTTCGATTTCTGTACAAAATTACCTATGAACGCTCTAATCACATAGTTGATATGGTCATTTGTTAAGCATAATCAGTATAGGTTTTTAATTTTTTTTTTTTCATACGAGAAATGAGCTGTTTACTTACGTATTCTGTAAATCCCAACATAAAATAATATTTCTCAGCTTTATTTTTAATTTTTGAAAATGCTGGAGTAAGTTCCAATATATTGAGTGTACCAAGTAATTTTATGCGTAGAGCAATTTTTTACTTTTCTAACTAGGTAAAATAAACTGTAAATAATCTTTTTCATTTTTGTACGAGCCGTATAATAATCCTGAAATGAGCTTGCGGCATACAAGTTGGAAATCGCTGTCCTAGATCAATCCATATAATATAACATAAATTATTTTAAAACCAGCTGGATTAAGAATAATACATATAAATAAAATAAAATATCTTAATGTTTCTTTTTTTTTATTATTCGGCTATAAAATTAACATGCTTTTTTACATTTTGTTTTAGTTGAATCGTGGACTAATATACTAAAATAGCAATTTGTGATTAGGTAGGTAGGTATATATACTTACCTATGATTTTATACGTAGATATATCGGGTGATGCAAGTGATATCGGTTTCTACTGAAATAATAATATACCGTCAATACCAAAAATAAAATTTTGATTTCCGTATCTTACGAAAACAATTTAGAAACTAATGATTTTAATTGTTGGTCATTAGCAGGTGCTTCAGAAATCTGAAAATACTTACTTGTTCCCTAATGGCTAATAGATATTACGATTTATGCCAAGCGTATGGTATGTATTGGTTCTACAATGTATTATTTTTTGTGTCCGTCATTAACTTTTTAGAACAGTTAGGTAAAACAATTTTGATGTATTTTTCATTCTATCTAAACAAGAACTGTTAAAATAATTTTTTGTACATTCGCATGTAAAAAAGTTCGAAGGGTGGTTAACTCTCCCGTGTAAACTGTTAACATGTTTATCTGACGAATATAAGTTAACTCTCTCGAGTCGTGTTAAATATACAGAAATGACACTACCGCGAAGTTTGAAATGTTGATGTATTTACTATTTACACATCAGAATAGCTGCAATGTATTTACAAAACGAAAAATTGAAAAAATTTGCTTCTCAGATATTTAGTTCAAATGTATATAAATGAAAATGCAACATATCTTCGAATAATGTGGATTTCAGCATCTTACAACTAACTGAATCTCCAACTGGAAAATAAATTAATATACTTCAAACATCATGTCTCAAAGCCATAATGAAGTGTGTTCGATTCGCTCCGAGTCAGGTTACCGGAGTTTTGAAACTACCTGCAGTTCACCATTTAATATCAGATGTTAGTGGCTTCCCGGAAAAATCATTATCTCATACTAATCATACAATTTTCGATATCTAATAGGTATTTTAATTTTATTACTTGGCGTTATACCCCCAAATCAATGCCTGTCCTCACAATAGACTCAAAAAAAAAAAGAAGACTTAAATGGACTTGCAGGAGTATGACCTGCACTTATCTACTTTTATCCAGTGTGGGCACACTGACTTCTTAATGACAATCCAAATATACACTCAAAATCTACCATTCAAGTTTATACAGAGTAATTTCTATGATTTTTATTATTGATCTAATCATGGTAGTACAGTCGATTCGCTATATAACTTGAAAAAATTGACAACTCGATTTTTTTTTGATTTTTCTATAAATTTTTACAACACTCGATGAATTGTACCTAAATCTTGTTAACTAGAACATACAATTATGATAAATAGCTTAGTTGAAGTATATTAAATCTAAATATTTTCGTCAAAATATTATTTTATCTACTCAACTATTTAATAAAGACAATAAACGAGTAGATAGAAACTGATTAACAAATGCACAATAACAGTATTATACTGGTTAATATAATGTGTCTAACTATAGTGTCATGTCTATCGTGCGTATTTTTGTATATTTTTAAAAATGTCTCAAAAACGAAAATAAAATTATTTAATTATAGTTGACAAAGTTCATGTGATATAATTGATGGAGAAAGCTAACCGGAAAAAACAAGACATTGCGAAAGAATTTAATATTTCACCAAACACTACGCTGTCAACATTTTTTTTTTTAAATAAGGCGGAAAATATAAAAAAAAAAACTGGACAATATAAGCTCGAAACCAGCCAAGTATCCAAGCATAGTAGCATATTTAATTAAATGGTTTATTTTATGAGAAGACAAAAATATATCACTTTTAAGATAAAACATGTCAGGTTCCGAAAAAATTAAGCAACTTACGAGTATAATCGGGGGAAATCAGCTAAATATTAATAAAAAATTATTTATTTAATGTGTATAATAAATAATACGTATGTATAAATATCATACGTTTTTGTCGTAAAATTTTAAAATTATATTACATTACATATCTCGGAGTGATATTTTATCCCCCTTTAACTTCAAGTTATCATGTCTTGGCTGTATAGATAATTTTTACTCATATTTAAACTACAATAAAATGAAAACAGCTAATATAGGAATAAATAATTAACAACAATGATTAAACTATTTATATTTATTTCAAAAATAAAAAATTATGAAACAATTTATTCAGCTCTCCTTAAGTACAATTATAGTTTATTGTAAAAAGATTATATTATAATTTTTAAATAACAATTAAAATGATTGATAAACATATGAATTGTTGAAAATCAAACACACATTTCAGAGCATAAAATCAACTTACAATATTCTTATAGATAAGAATATGTCTAAAGCTCATTAGTTTTAGGGCTTTATCAGTTGTAACATTGGTACTCCATACATAAAATACCAAACTCTGAAAAACATAAACATTATCAATTTTTTCGAATTTTAAAACAAATACCTTCTCGGAAATATTGGAACACATGACATTTTTCATCGTATAAGTAAAAAACGGTTTCTAGTTTTAAAACTTGATTCTGTAGTAATTCTTAGTAAGATATTAGAATAGTAATTGAGAACAATTACATAAATACTTAAATAAATTTATTATTTATTTTTCAAGTGATGATAAAAATTAATTTAAGTTTTAAGTTTATTTAAAACTTGTATCTAAATAAAAAATAATTCAATATCTATTTTTCAGATTTTTCTATTACACAATAGACATTTTATGTTTTCATGTAGTAACATTAATCATATTAAAACCATTCTAAGTATCTATAAGAAAATATAGCCTAATAGTTAATCTGAGTTTGAATAAATATTTTTATTATTAAAAGTACTTTTTAAAAATTAATTGGTAATAAAACATTATTTTTTAAATGAAAATAGTGTACATAACTTGTACACAATCAAGATAAATTTTAGCACACAGTTATAAAAAAGGTATTGCATACATAACTTTTGATCTATTTACAAGATCAATCATAATATATACATACATACAGACCAACAAACTTGAACCTTACCAAATACAATAAATATTTGTGGCATATTACGAAACAAAATTGTAACATGTGACGCTTAATTTTTGATTGAAAGGCAGCCACAAGAAGAATGGTGTAGATCTATGCATCCATCAAATGATTCAATATTCAGTTTCTGCGAAGACATGAAAGTAACCTTTTATAAGTAATTTATTATTATTAATTTTTATTTAGGAAAATTATTTAAAGTAGCAACCCTTTTTTTTTTGGTAAATTAATATTAATTCATATATTTTTAAAAATTATTTGTAAGAATCTTTTTGTTTTTTTACAAAATAAAATTTAATATAACAAATTTTATGATTAATGATGTTTAAACTTTAAAGGTACAACACCCACATATGTTGTCTTCATTTTACAAACATATAACATGGAAAATTTTACATTTTTAATAATCCATTTAGAATCTCATTCTTAAAATTAGACTGAATTGACCTATTACAAAATTTATAAGTAAAACTAATATTTTATCAAGCCCATATTACATTTAAGTTTTATAACTAGTCAATTAAACATAATGGATAATAAAATAGATTATAGTGAATGTACAATTTGCTATGTTATATGTTAATAAGAAAGAAACAAGTCATGTGGGTGTGATATTCTATTAATAATAATTATAAATAACTAACCAATGATTATCATTATCAATAAAAATGCATCAGAAGATGACATTCATAATGATTCATAATAAAAATGCATGATTTTGTAGTATGATCAGTGGTTAGTGTTATCCACATTGACCATATTCAGCCACATGTTAATAATATTCTGTAACATAATAACCAACATCTTAAAATTGTATAAAACTAATAAAACTAATATAAGTTATATATAAATATAATTTTGCATAGAATATTCAAATATTTTTAAAACTTTAAATTTTAAGATGAATTTGTACTCAACATTAGACATAACTTTATGTATTTTAATTAAGAAATACAAAATTATAAATGTTGGAGTCATTATTTAAAATGATCATTGTATAAAACTGATATTAAAAATCATTAATTTAAAATTAAAAATGATCATTTTCAAAAAAAAAAAAAAAATATTTACCGCACGGATTTAACCACGACGACCAAGTTTACTTGGTAAATGTGTGGTCTGTTTCAATTCAATGATATTGAAATACACACAGACGAACAAATTAAATGAATTTAATGTTTGTTTACCTAAGAATGAGTATTTTACACGAATCGCAAACGCACCGGCTTCGTTCAAATAGTCTTCGGAACATCGTACACATCGAACAGTGTACGGAAATATCACGTTTTCGGCAAACTACGAGATCGGTCGGCTGTAAAGGTCAAACTAAAAAACACTTAACTAATATATAAGAGAATATAGGGACTACAAAATTAGATAGTATTTATTATACTTATTTTTATTTTATTATAATTTTTTACAATGAGAATTACAATGTAATGTTGTCATAAGATTATTTGGGCTTACAATATTAATATATTTTAGTAATTTAATCAATACATTAACCTAACTGTAAAGACCTTTGACTATAAAGGCTTACATTCTAATTTTCTAAAGAAAATTTGTTTAATAACTCGACAAACAGAAATTCCAGAAATAATTATTAATATATGATTGATGTGATTATAGTGATATTTAAAAAAAAACATAGTCAATAAACCTTAAAATAATTCTATATAGAAAATTATTTTGTTTACATCTAAGGTAGAAAATATGAATCAATATAAATAATCTAAGAGCCCAGATAATTTAACCTTTTATGTCTAATGCCTATAAATAAAATAAAATTGTAATTTGTGACACTAAGAAATTATATGTTTTTAATTAAACCTAAAAAAAAAAACCTATGTAGACAAATGATCTTATAAGACTTCATAAATGTAGTTTTGGCTCCTTAAAAACTTGAGCCGATTTAAATAAAAAAATGTTGACGGTCGGCGATGTGTGAGTGTACGGTAATCCGATCCGGCGACGCGAATATACGGCGGCGGCACGATAATATATACACGGTTTTTTTTAATACGGCGTGTAACGCGACGAACCGCGAGATCCCGAAACTCTGACGGAAAAAGAAAAACATAATCGGGGATTAACCAAATACATTTATATATAAACACACACATATATACATATAAACATACACACATACACACAAACAAACAGAAATAATATTATAAGCTTTATAAGCATGCATACTTAAATTAATAAAACAAAAAGCCAACAAATTTTAACTTCATTAAAAATCTAAAAGTAGTACATTATAGTTTTTTCATGTTATTTTGAAAATAAAAATAAAAGAAATACAAACAATAATCATCCTAGATTTTTCAATATTCAAAATAACATCAAATGAAAAAACTTGACTGATTAATCTTCAGACATTAAGAGAATGTTACACCATTTAAATTTTGAGTATAGCATCCTCTTAATATAAAAAATATTAAAATAATGGCTTAAGTTAAAATTAATTTTGTTATTGTTATTTGTCAAGATAGAATAAAGAAAGGTTGTACATGAAATATTTTACACTAATTAAATATTTTTTTCTTTAGAAATATCTTGAAATTTGGACAAAATATTAAAGAAAATATTAAATAATTCTAGAACTTTTATCCATAAACAACATTTATTTTCCAGGAATAATTTAAAGTTTTGATGATTTTGTCACTATACTCAGTCTTAAAGTAGAATACTCAGGCAACAACTGGTTTATGCCAGGTGGAGTACATCTCTCAAATAATAGCATAGGTAGATAGTAATGACTGATAAGAGGGGATAAAAGAGTGCAGAACTGATGTATTCTAGTTTAAGACAGAGTATAAATAGCAGAGTTGTATAAAATTTTATTTGGATAATTATTTGAAATATTTTCATTATTTTTTTAATTATTCGAATCATTTTAGAACTTAATATTAATATAAAATATATATTATAGAATGATTATAATTCTTATAGTAAGGCTACATGTATGTAGTATATACATAGCTCAATAGTAACTATACACCGATGTCAATGTTATTACTATACCTAGTATAGAGTAATGCAAATTTTATCTAGATATTTATTTGAATAATTGTTAATTAAATAATAATTTTTTCGAATAAAATGTTATATTAATAATTATCTAAATAAAATTTCATTTAAATAACGCTCTACTCTGCTAAATAGTACTAACTGTACTCAGTGATTGGAAATTTTATATTATATACCACAAATTTTTTATATAAAATATTCTAGGTGTATAAAAAACAGCCTTAAAATTAAAAAAAAAATTTAAGTTATCTAAGAATATTAAAATTTTTGAAATACTGCGAGTGAAGCTGATTTTTAATGTTAATAATAAGCACAAAGTTTGTTTAAATGTTCATTCAAGTGTTAAATATATATGTGGAAATATACAAAACATGTAAAAAAATAACCTATCTCACAAAACAAATTATGATATAATATTAAAAAAGGTTTTTTAATGATTAAATATAAGAATTTAAATTTGAAAATATTTAATTTTTAGTACACCAAACTCTATTCTATTTAAAAGTACATTAAAAAACTATTTTGGTTCACACATTCCCTTATGACTAGGGCTGGGTGGTAATCAACTAACTAATTGTAAATTTCAATTTATAAAAATCGATTGATTTTACTGAAAAAAAATGACTAATTTAATTCGTAACAGTTATTGTAATAATAAATTATTTACAAATTATTACAATGAATTGTCAAAGTCAACAATCACCCAGCCCCATTTATAACAATTAATATTAAAGCTATCCAAAAGCATTGAGTCGTTCGACGGTTAGTTTTCATGCACGAGGCAGTTTTAAAAAAATAGAAATTGAGTATATTATACTATTATAACAAGTATTAATATTTATTTTTAAATTTAATCATAATAAAGCATTATATTACAGTTATAAAATATTATCAATCAATCTATTTGATCACTTGGATAAATAAATTATGAATAATAATTCTTATAACTGTATTCATTCCAACATTAAAAATAACTTTTTAGAATTTAAGTAAATTTAATTAAAAACTTACCGACGATCATCATAAGAATCTCTAGAGAAATCATCATATGCATGAGATGAACTATTAAATGAAACGAAACGACATACAATTATGCTGATAATATTTGTATATTGTTATTCCAATACTTACGATGTACGACTGCTAGACAATGGTGAGCGGCGTGTAAATACATAATCTTGGTCACGCATAGTTGTTCCAATACGTGTAGATGATGATAAATAATCACGACTAGATGGCATTCTTGGCATTCTTCTATCCATACCATAACCATCAGCGGCTGTTCTCATTAGACTACGGTCATAATAACGGTCATACAGGCCTTCAGTCTAAAATCAAAATTAATTGAGATAAATAAATGGGATATAACTAAATATTTTTAAATACTTACTTCATACATATGACCACCAAGTTCAGAATGTGACAACATTGAATAATCATCCATCTATAAAAGGGAAAACATATAATAATAAATATTACAAAACATAAGTGGTTTTACGTAGTTATTTAGTATATACCAACAATTGAAATAAATTCAAAAGAACTTCTTTTAATTACATTGAATTAAATTTCATCACTATTATATAAAAAAATAATTTTAGTTAAAATATTTTTTTGATTAATTCAGTTTTTCCAATTAATTTAAAGTACAAGGTTTTTTAACTGAACTAGATAATATAGAAGTATTCACATTTTATTAGTATAATTCTTTTGTTGTCTTTCTACAAAAATGATGTTTTAAAATAAGTGGGTTTATTTAATTAAAATATTTATTCAATAATTATAAGACAACAAATATAATAATTACAGAGCTGTGAAATTGAAAACTATGTCACAACAGTTCTATAATTGTCAGAATTATTGACATAAGAGTCAGAAATAATTTTTGAATATTTTGCTAAGTTAGACTTAATTATGTAACACTGAAGCAGTGGTTTTAAATTGATGTCACAATAAATATATTAATAGTTTTATAAGAATGTATTCACTAGTATTATTATCAATATTCAGTAAAAAGTAATGAATATCAAACATAAAGATAGGCTAAATCATTTATTATATGGATTGATATAGTGTGAACATTTTTTAGGAGATTAAGTGTGCCATATTGTTAAAAAAGTTGAAAACCACTGCACTAAAGTAAAGATCACTTTTTGAATTTAAAATTAAAACTTTAGATTTAAATAGATTCAAATAATTAAACTTTAAATTATTTTTCCACATGAAAAAATATAATATATAATGCTAGTAATATCTTACTCGATAAGTTTAATTAAAATGTACATTTGAACCAAAATTAAAAATATTTTAACATTTCATTTATCACTAATCAGTAACAGTTTAAATGTTACTTACTCTTGTCATATCAGTTTTTAAACCAGTACCATAAGAACCAAGAATGCGATCACGAACAAATGAAGGCGGAGGTGGTGGTGGATAAAGTAAGGCACGAGGTGGTGGAAGTGGTGGTAAAGCATCTCTTCCATATCCATACCTAAAAAAAGGATGAATTTTAATCATGAATTTAAATTTTCTTAAATCATATCTTAAGTTAAAGAACAATGTGCGAAATAAGTTGTAAGGCTCACCCTTCACGACTGCACTCCCGAGACCAATGGCCACCCTTGCCGCACCTGAACAAAATTTCCCGTTTCATTTTCAATGAAATTAATTTCATTTTTATTTTATATATCAAACAACAAAACATGTGACTAGCAAGTTACTTCTAAACACATTTTCTTTAAACTACACAAATAAACAGTATATACCTATAACACTGCTCTGGCATACCCATTCCAGGTCTTTGACGAACACGGCTATTTGAAATTTGGACTTTGATTGGTTGACCATCCAACATATGTCCATTTAAATCTTTAATAAGTCTGCTTACATCAGTTGAATCAATGTGCTAAAGTTAATTAAAGTCAATAATAAAGTTATATTGTGTAACAATATAAATTTAAAAAAATTTTAAAATTATTGAAATATAACATATAAATTAAATGAAAGAAGAGGTAAAAATTACATATTTTAAATTGATATAAGTCAAATATAATATTATTTACAATAAATTAAAATACAATTAACAGATTAACACTCACCACAAAACCATAAGTTCTGACAATGTCACATTCAACCACAGTACCGTATCTACCAAATAACTCTCGTACTTCATTGGCTTTTGTTGTTTCAGAAAGATTTCCAACAAAGATTTTTGTAGTTGGGGTATTAGGACCACGACGACTAGTGGCAGCTTCAACTTTCATGGCTAAATCATTAACCATTGTACCATTCAAAGCTTTTATAGCTGCACGGCCAGTGTTCTCATCATCCATATGCTAAATTAGAAAATTAAAATGTTAAGGTGAATAAAATGTAAATGTATATTATGTAATTGTACACAAATTAATTGTTTATAATTTTATTAAGTTCTAAAACCAAAAAACAATACAATTATGTATTAATTTTTAAATACTTACAACAAAGCCAAAATTTTTCATTACATCACATTCAACAACTTTGCCATACTTCTCAAACAGAGGTCTAATATCGTTAGATGTAGTCTTTTCAGAAAGATTTCCAATAAAAATCTTAAAAGTCCTTACGCTGCTATTGTTAAAACTTGTGTTACTTTCGGTATCAGACGGCATTTTTTCTTTTGCTGTAAAAAATAATACTCTATATTTATATACAATACAAAATGTTTTTAAAATTCATTAAAAATTGAGTTGATACATAATGTAGGCCACGTGCTGTTGTATATTTCGGCCGGATGACTTGACTTTGGATTGAAAAGGGGTTTTTATGGGAGGAAAAAGAGCTTTGAGAAAATTTCAAATGTTTTATATTTTGGAACATGACTAGGTTTAACTTTAAACATCTTTTTTTTTTTTTAACAGTAATGTTTATAGATTCTAATACTGTTTTCTAAGATTGTTGTATAGGTAGGTAGGTATGTAGGTAGGTTAAGTTAGGTTAGGTTAAGTAAAGTATATTTTTAAAAAAAATGTGTATTTTAAATAGTATTTTGGTTATCAGTTTAGTTATAATATATAATTTAAATTTTAGAATAATGATGATATGTAAATATTGTTTACTTTATTTTTGCTATACTAATCAGTAATCATTTTATAAATACCTGTCTTGTCGAGTATAAAATAACACTTTAAATTCAGTTTAACATCACAACACAAATAATATTTAAAAACAATAAATTGTTTTTTTTTTAATAAAAACATCAATAGACAAATGGTTTTTATCTGGTAAACACTCAATAATAATTGTACATTGACTGTTGATACATAATAAACATATTTATGTTTTATTTTTGTACCTAATATTTTTACTTGAATTTATTTTTAAATCTTATTATTATGCAGAGAAGAGACTTGTGATATAATTTATATTAGAAAAATGATTAAAATTGTATTATCAATAAAACATGTTTGAGAAATGTTTTGTTTATACATTATGAGTATACACAAGCACTAAAACAAAATAACATTTACTGCAGGTTACATTTATCATTAATTTTATTGAAATTAATATATACAATTAAGGTACAACTAAGTATTTTGATGTAGGATGAACTATTTTTTATAAAAGTTAAAATTTGTTTCATCATGTCCTAATACTCATATAAATGAATAGTGTGATAACTAGGGCACGGATGTTGTTGCATTTGCAACTTTTCTTCTACCTTTCCAATTTATTGCCAAGTAAGTTTTAAATACGTTTCATGTAAGTACGAATTCAAATCTAAAAGTTTTAAGTGCAATTTTTTGCAATTTTTGGAATTTTATTGCAATTTTGTTGAATTTAATCATTTATACAACCATTTTAGCTATATTCGAAACTCGACAGTCGTATAGATAAGATAATACTTAAATATTTCCAGTATATAGAAACGCTCCACTTACATCAACCGACATAAAACGAAGTTTTTCGAGGTATAAGAACTTATTGGCTCCAAATTGAAGAGCGTTCGAATTCGAAAATTTAAAACAAGCACTTATAGTCCAATGCAATGAGGTTTAAAATTTAAAATATTTAATATGTTTAGAATACGTATAGATTATTAATTAATGTAAAAAATATATTTTTTGGCAGAATTAAAATAAAACATCTACAAATTATAACGAAACGTTGTAATTTTTAATATTTTAAGTGCAATTTTCGGTATTTTTTAGTGCAATACTGCAATCAATTTTAGTAGTTTTTTACTACTACAACATCCGTGCCCTAGTGATAACTGTATGAAGATGACTGTCTCTACACTTTATTTCTTTAAGTATGATTTTAAGACTCTGCTGACTCTAGCTTCCCTTTAAAATAAAAGCCTAGTCACACCAATTACTATTTATTTGGATAACAGTCAGTACTTAATAAATCAAAAGATAGCTTATTGTAAAAAACAAATAATACACAAATAGGTAATACTCTTATTTAATATCAATATAAGTGCTTGATACAAAAATAAATTTGAGAGTTATTTAAAAAAAGCCTGTTTGGAAATGAATTAGGTAGAGCATAAAAGCATTAGCTCTAGAAAAATATAAAATTTAATACTTTTTGAAACTTACATGAATAAAAACATTTTAGTATATGAGAGGTGTGTTGGATACAAAATTTATGTTAAAATAGACTCACTGCATTTATTTATGGGTACAATATCACTTACGTAGTAAAAAAAAATTTAACATCCAATTATATTAGGATTCCCAAGTATGAATTGTTCCATCCATTGAGAATGATTTTTACACACAGAAATAAAAATCTTGAAAAATTATGAATATTAAATATAAAGTGAAAAAGACATTAAAGAGCTTTGGACAGGCTCTACAATGAATTTACTGAGAAAAAGCAAAACTAACATACATTAAATCCAGTACGCAAGCACATTATTATTGTAACATCGTTAACAACAATCGCGCGAGTGGGACATTGCAGTCGCGGAGACCGGGCGGCTTAAAATACTGACCGGCTGTCTCCTCGGCAACGGTGTCTTCTTCAGTGGTACAGTCAACCAATTGTCTGCCCCGTTTGTGGTCAAAATCTCGCATTTCTCGTCTACACTGTGATGTGGATCAAGTTTTGTTGTTTTCGTTGTTATTTACAATATTGTCGTGCGTGTTCAAGACAACAAGGGCCACCACGTCATACACTCACCACACACAGACGAAGCACGACAGAATGCAGCAGCAGCAGCAGCAGCAGCAAAAACAGCAGTAGCAACGGCAACGGTGGTGACAGTCGATCGGCAGCTGCTGTATAGTTGTTGCGTTGCGCACACGGCGGGCAAGATGGGTTTACGTTACGTACCTAGATGTTTGGATGTCAAAAATACTAAGATAGAACGGCGACAAAAATGAATAAAAATCACGTAAAAAAAATTAGTCATCAACATACGAATTGAATACGATACTACAAGTGAAGTCGGTGACAATGATGGTGGGAGTCAGAGAACCAATTCTCCGCTAAAACGTCAGTGGCCAGTGCTGAGTACGAAATAGTTAAGCTGGTGTGTGTGAACCGTATAATTGTGTACCTTCGTGTAAATGCATGTAAGTGTGTGTGTCGGTGTTAGTGCATGGAGCGTAATGACTGATGAGTCGCGGACGCCGCCGTGAGAGGGAGCGAGTGCATGACGTCTTTCCTAATTCATGGAATAATCAAACGCTTGCCATCGTCGTTTATTTCTTCCATGGAGACTACTACTGCTGATCAACATGAGATGATTTAAGTCCCGAATGACTGATGAAACTCCGTACTCTTAATAAGTACCTATACATTTATGCATTAAGAAATAATTGAATATCTATTCTTTCAACGAAGTAGTGGCTTCAGGGAGCTTACTTTTTAAGAGTAAAGGTATACTTATTTATCAACTTATATTCAAATAAAATTAATCACAGTTGAAAGCAATTATTGTAAAATTTTATTAAAAATTATTCAACAAATGAAATAAAAAAAAAGATTCATACTATTATTATAACTTGATATGATATTATGTAAAAATATATGTTTAATTAGTAATAAGCATTGTACAATAAATAAAATTTAAAAAATTTAATTTAATTTCCTGTTTCTAATAGGTATTGAAAAATCTAGTAATTTAAAATATTATTATGAATATTTATATTTTTGAGACATAGTTAGACCTGTTAACCCCTTTCTGCGCTCTTACTAGATCTCAACCGTTTTTCAGTAAACGTAAAGAAGAAAAGCATTTTTCTACTGTAGTATTAGAAATTAGGACAGTGACTAAGATTTTAATTAATAAAGACAATACTGGAAATTAGTTATAATTAAGCTTCTCGAGAAATGCTATATATGTAGTTGATATGCTATTATTGTGAGATCAGTACTTATTTTAAATTTATTTTCTAATAAATTCTCTGAGTTCCTCCTTAGGATATTTGTAAATTTACAAAAATTTATTTATGTAAAAACATAAATTCACTAAATGTTCAAATAACATACTAGGTATATTGATCAAAAATGTCTTATAGGTACGTTGATTAATATTATAAATATTTTTTTAATATAATATTTATTTTTGGACTTAATGTAATCAATATAGTACCTAACAAAAGTAAACCTGTAAAAATATATCATTTTTAAACATAATATTCACGTAAATAAATACCAAATATCAATTATTGCATTAGTTCAATTTTAAGATATTTAATTTCATAACATTTTTAAGTTTTGAATTATCTAAACATACGCATTATCCACTGATTTAAAGGCACTAAAGATTCGGCCATTTTATAAAGGTAATAATTATTATATCCAACATATAATAAAAATAATACTTTAGCTAGCCTGTTTAATATCCATAAATGTATTTAGCAATTGAACTAAAAGATTCAGTGAGAAAGTAAATTAAAGGTAGTTCTCCCACAACGGCCACAGGCCAGAAATTCAAGATTAAAAAAAAACCTAAAGAAAAATGCATTTAATGCTCTCATAGTCTCACAATTACTTAACAGAAATTTTATTTCAATCAAATGAGGAGGGGCATGTGTCACCTGCATCTTTCTCTCCTGGATATGTTACTGTTTCAAAATAGAACTATGCATTATATGCATGTTTAATAATATTTTTAATTTTTACAGTAAATAAAAAGGCTTATAATATTCAGGAACATTTTGTAGGCAACTTCTTATGCATTCAGAAATTGGTTGTGTTACCGTGTTGATCGTCATTCTGTAAAATTATTCAAATTATTCATAATTTTGATTTTTACTGTAAAGGAAATGACAAAGTATATTTTAATTATTTTAAGTTAATTAAATATTTTAACTTAAGATTTTTAAACAACATTTATTACAATTATAATGCAGATAAAAGATGTAACTTAGTTATTTTAATGTATTAGTCATGGAAAATTTGAAATTTTTAAGTATTTTTTCAGAATGAATATTGAAATAGGCGTTGCTAATTACTATTTATAATAAAAATTGAATTGAGATATCAAAAATTTAATATTTAACTAAAACTAAACAATAATTACAATAATTGTGAGGGCCATTAATTAAATCATCGTCTTTCCTAATTCTTTGAAGGATAAATTTGTTTATATTTTGCTCGTCTATAACAAATTATTATGTATAAACTATGTATTTTTTTTTTTTTTGACACATTTATTTAAATTAATATTGGATTTAAGCTTAAGTTTTATGATTGGGTGGTTACCTATGTCTCTTTTAAACAAAAATATTTTTAATATTATTATTTTAGATTCTAAGTGAAGCAATGAATATGTATTCATTAATTTATTATGATATGTATATTTTTGTATGGCAACATGATAAAATGGTTCGATTTAAAAAATGGGGGAGGTTTTGAATACAAAATTGGATTTAGTTTGTACTTTAAAGAAGTCAAACTTAAAATTTCCCAGTATTTATTTTTTTTTAATTAGGAAAAACAAACAAATTAAAAAAAAAAACCATGAAATTTTACACAAATCTGATTTTTGATGAAATCAATTTTGTTTTTTTGATGTAACTTTAAAACGTATAACCATAAAAACCTGACATTTTCACAAAAATTTTATATTCTTGTTTTCTATTCACAATAAAATTTTTTTTAAATCTGAATATTTTGATGATTTTTAAGCTATTTATAGGCATAAGAAATTTTAAATTTTTTTAGTATTTTTTTTTTTTGTAAATTTTAATTAAAAGTACACCTATAGATTATAGTGACCTACTTAATATCTAATGTACGACAGATTGGAACCCAGTAGGTACCTACCTTTTTATTTTGTTTTTTGAAAAGAAAAATGTAATTTTTTTATTATTTTAAACTGACTATAATGACAAATATGAAATAGTGATTATCGAAAATATTTGAATAAAATATTCTCTCTGTAAACTATGGCCTAGCTTCAAAATAATTTTTAATTTATGAATCCTATACACATGACGTGATGAAAAATATTTGTATATCATTTAGTTATGTTTTTACCAAATGTGTACCTATTATAGTGAATTATGTATTTATAAATTCTGCGGTGAATTCAAAGGTTAAGTATTTTTTTTTTTTATTCTATAAAATTGAATCTGTGGTATTTAAACTGTAAAATTTTGGTTTACAAATAAGTTAAAAATATATAATTTATTAATCAGTTCTTTAAATACATTGAATTATAAATTATTATCATGATTGCTTTTTAACTGGCGTTTCAACCTATATCATACTATTCAATATTTTATTAAAGTTCAGATAACATTGATAGATACTTATAACTTATAAGTATAATAAAATTAAACCCATAATCTAATATTATCACTGAATAGGTACTATGATACTATTAGATTATTATATTTATACATATAAATATGATACATCCTTAAGTGTCTATAAATGTTCGATGTATCTACTCTACTGGGATGAACAAGTTTTATTGATTAATTATAACTGGTTACAAGTTACACTTAAATTTGTATTTATCTATAGTTACAAGGTGTAAGATAATTTGGAAATATCAAATTTTTAACCGGTTATAAAGTTACAGTTACAGTAACAGTTACGTTTAAAGTTACAAGTTGGTCAAGAATATAAGAATTTAAATATTTCTTTAAAATATGTGGAATTATCAATAAAAATATATTATATAAGTTAAAATTTAAATTGGCTATAATACTTAATGAATAATGTACATCATAGTTAAAGGTATTAGAGCATATCACATAAATAAAAATAAAGATATCTAATAGCTAACTATGTTAGTATGATACTATGATGCGTTATGTTGATATAAAATATAGATAACAAAAACAAACTACAGTTTTTACAAGGATCATGGAGAGATGACAGTTAGTACACTATACTCGTAAACTACAATTAACTATATAGCTATTCAGAATTCACTAATATTATAATCCTTCATGTTGTGAAATAAATAATAATAATAATATACATTTATTAGTGGATATATACATTTTATTCATAACAATACCTATTTATATTTGCTATATTTCTAATATTAAATGTTTACTGAGTAGATTTAGATAAAAAAAATATATTATTGGATAAGGAACCTATAATATATTTTTAAATTTTATTTAAAATATGTATAAATTTTTTTTCGTATTAACTCATCGTTATAACTTATTAAAAAAAAAAATCAACATTGAAAAATCAGTAAAACAATCAATGACGTACACATAGGGAAGAAACGGAATAAAGCTTCCTCCATTACCCGCATAATTATTTTTTGTTTTTATAATTAACCACGATTTAATATAAAAAATAAATGTATTTTATGCATTGGTAAAATAAAAATTGGCCATCACTCTTATGATATTAAAAACTCTCTTATGGTGTTAAAAAAAAAAAAAAAAAAATGTGTTGAAAAGGGCGCCATAAATGTTGTATTCAGGGGTGGAAAATTCTTAAGTAAGACCCTGTAGCTGCACATATTGTTTCATCCTTAAAAATACTGAAATACTTACCTAAAATAACAAATTTCCATCCAGCAACACTCATTAACCTTCATTAGTATTAATTTTCAATTGAAATTACCTATTATTAAACTTAATGATAACAACATAATATACTTGTGCTTTTTGAAAGTTTTTTTATCAAATTTTAATATAAAGTGAGTTTTAAGCGTGTAAAACGTTACAGTTTAAAAATGCTCTTAATTACTTTAAAATTAAAATATCAAAATAACAATTCCACCAAACACAAAAACATGTTGTTAGTTATTATCTTTCAACTTAATTATAAATAAATCCATTCAATAATAAAACCAAAAATATTAAATAAAAACTGCTAAACATATATTTGTAAGACTGAAACAACTCGTGAGAGTTAAACGTGTATTAAATTCTTAAATAAATAGACATCGATATTAAAAAAAAAAAAATTTATTTTTCTAATGATGTTTAACATATAAAATATTTCAATTTTCAATACTTAAAAATGACTAAAAAAATGGTATATATATTAAACAATTATTATTTAATGTAATTTTGCACATGTATTTTTGATCATCATTCATCAATTTTTCAGCCAAGAGGATGTCAGCGGCTTTTTTTTCTCTTGACAATCGTATTTCATAA